CGCTACAATTACAGTTTTGATTCCTTACATCGTGTTACAACTCTGTTGGTCTAATTCCCGCAGATAGGTGACGTTCGGGGTCCTAGTTCGTCCAGTTCGTATGAGTGTCATAACGACTCGGGCTCCAAAAAATATGCGAAGTGGAACCTTGTATAAAGGAGAGCATTTATTGCTACATGTGAGACCGCGATTGCCAAAGGTCATCGACACAGTAAGTGTTTACCGAAGTATGACTGGGAACGTGTTATTACTCTTTTTAACTCCATCTCCGGCCACAATTGGAGCAAAACAAATTGGCAACCATTGGGACACAATACATCGAGACCACAAACGCCTCACACAACTGTTGTCTTGTACCGGGGTCGAATATAACCCATCGGCAAGTCGTATCAAGCATCAGACGAATGGTGGAGCCGAAAAATAAAGGTATGAAGTTGTAAATTGGTGCTACATTACGAACATATGACTACGTCACTTACATTTGTGTGTGCTGTACTTTTGGCTAAATCCTAACTGTATCCATAAAAACGAGTTTCATGAAGATACCGCCAGAGTGGTTGTTTGAATATTTGATTGGAGTTGGGTCTTGCTCTGTCGAATAGTTGCTTGTGTTTAGGAATGTGTAATGTTATCGACAATGTGATTATAGGCAGTGTGTTGATGATTGCTGGGTGTTTTCCATAGATAGCATTTCCTCTAACATTTAGTGCTGTAGTAAGTTGTGAGAAGTGGTTGTGTTTGTTTGTATAGCATTTGTAACGAATATGTCATCAACATTCCGTCTTCATAACTGTATAGTCAATTTACGTCAAGAAAATGCCCAAACTTAGCTCAATTCGTTCTCACGAAAATGCACAATCGGTTAACATTTCCACAAATGTCAACTCATTTACATTTGTGTTATTGTGTAACTGTTATTGTAAGAGAACAAGGATTACAAAGATTTTAAAAATAAAGACGTTAGTGAGATCTACATCCGATATCATTAACTTTTTGGCAACAGTTATGACGGTGACAAGTACGTAATGACCCCAACGAAATTATGTCAAACGAGATTCGCATCGTTCAAGGACTATGTAGTTGAAGACCACTTGGATTCAATTCCCGTCGATGGGAAGAGTACTGGTTCGAGTGATAAAGGAGACAAAAGAAGTGTAACTCCAACGTGAACACTTCCAATGCCCAAAGCGACGGAAAAAGGAAGTCGGCAACGACTTCACAAAAGGGGAAGAAAAAGAAAATTTCTACTCGAAAGTTGTTTCTGTGACTAGACAAATAGTGTTGTCGAGGAAGTGGCAGTGAAGATAAATACCATCATGGAGTCGAAAGAAAATGCTAGAGTTGTCTGCGTTGAAGAGTTGCTTTCCGCTGGGAGACTCCAGCGACGAACCCCTGTACTTTTTCGCTTGTACGCTTCTTGTACAGAAGTACTATCGGGATATTCTTGGGTTGATGTGCGACACTAATAAAAAATTTGAGTGGATTGAGTGGCAATTTAATGAGTGCAACAAATCACTCCATTAGTGACACTACCAGCTCTAATACTCACGTGGTTCTCTTTTTTCCCTTTTTTTCCCTGTGACAATTGCAGCTTTCTATACCTGTACCCATGTACGTTATGATTCTCTTCCATTTCATATGTTATTGTACTGTGTAGGTTTGTGTTTAAAATTGTTTAGTTTATTTCTTCCCACAGATAATACATGCATGGTAGACAAAAGTTGCAGGTAATGCATATTTTTTAGGGAATCTTTTAGTATTAGCTGAAAAAAGTTAAACATGTACAATGCGATGTAGCTTTTTTTTTTTTAAATTTTGTACAACCTGCAGTGAAAGGTAAATCAAAGAAAACAACTTACATGCCACATTTACTACTCTATAAATTAGTTGCTTCGAACAATGAATTATGATACGTGCAGTCACGAGTTTAGTAGCACAAATTTGTGCTGTTAAAAAAAATCTTCAACTTGCTTGTAAGAAATTTAACAATTTCTTAAATATCAGTAACACAATAGATGATCTCAATTTCAATTGTGTATTTCTATCGGGCTCTAATGAGGAACAATAATTCAAAGATGATGAGTTTTTTAGTCAATTGACGGAAGACAAAACGAACTGGGTTACGTATTGTAGGATCGCATACTGCTACGCAAGAAACTACTATCGCAAACAGTGGTGTCGTATTCAAAGATTTCAGTTTTCCAGAAATGGCCACATGTTTATGAAAGAAGCAATGGAAGAGAACGGACATATGTGCTAACAAGAATTCCGAATGTATCCACATGTGTTGTAACATTTTGCACATATTCTGTGTGACGAATATGACTTATGCACTAGCCTCTCTACGAGCAAGTTGGAATGTTCTTGTGCATATTAGCACATGAAAAATGATACTGACAAGTGACAACGATATTCAACCATTCTTTACAAACAATATACCATTACTTCAAAGAGGTTTGTCGTGTCGTCGTGTCGCTATCGACACGTCTCATAAAACCCAGTTCAAACTATAACCAAGGAGAGGATCCCTACAGGCCGGACCCGACTAAGCATCCAATCTTTTAGGATTGCATTGGAGCTATTGATGGAACACAAGTGAAAGAGGTTTTTACCACGTCATGAACGTGTGAATTTCATATGTCGAAAAGGAGTATGACGCAAAATATGTTGGCCGCATGTGATTTCAATTTATGTTTCATGTTTGTGCTTGCTGGTTCCAGCGGGAATATATAAGATGCTCCATGTTCGCTAAAATAATATACCGTAAGTGCACGGGTCACGTTCAAGTAATAAAGTGGACCTTTTGAGTCCGGGTTGTCGATCTCTCGAAAAATGTTTACTTCCGATTACACAACTTTAGACAATTTAATTTTAACAATAAGAACAAACACACAATAAAATTTGATTTTGAAAAATATGAAAAATTAACTAAAAATCTACAAAATAAGAAAACGTAAACACTTGGACAGTTTGGAGGAAAATGTGGTTGGGATTCAAG